CCTGGATTACTTGGATAACTTGTCCAGTCTCTTTGTCCACTGATTTGGCTCTCTCGGAATCCTTGGAGCCACTTAGACCTAAAATTGAATGGCAAAGTAAAAATGAATTAATCATAAAGGGAAAATTAAATTGTCGCTTGTTTACATTTCCAATCAATTTTACCTTTCTCAATTTTTGTCAAAGTTAATAAAATTGTACAAATGTCAACAGCCATGCACTATTGATGGACAAATTGATTGTTGATCAACAAAAGTAAATGTTTAAATTTTCACAATTTAAATCATTGAATGGCTTTTTCATTATTGTAACAAAAAGAAATTAAAATTTTGCCATTTTGTTGTTAATCACAAACTAAATCACTCATAATGGTTTGAGTTGATTGCGATGAGACTTGGATGTTATTTTGAATCATTGATAGCAACTTGAAATATTCACGTTTTCACAATTGATTAGTTTGATTGGGAATAAATTTTTATTTATTTTTCACTATTTTTCACCTTGTTCACCAAGCAACTCCTGCCTGCCAATCAACCTTATTAACACCATCTGTATCAATAGCACAATTAACATTAAATTGTCTGGTTTAATGGTTGATTGTAAAAGTAAAACCTGATCAAGACTAATGACTCTTCAGATAAAATTGAGTAAAACTGGGTAAAGGATGAACAATCAAAACAGGTTGAGGCATAAATCAATGGTAAATCTTGAACAGCCAAAAAGGCAAACAAAATTGTCACAATAAGATTTAACCCAAAACCTAAAAAAACCAGAAAACCAGAAAACATGCAAATGTGATTCTTTTATTTCCAATTGTATTTCATCTCATTTCAATTATAATTTAGGTGATAATTATATTTCAAAGGCCATCAACATCCATTATTAATCAGACAAAAAGGCAACACTCCTTAATGATCATCAATTTACATTGGCAACAAATAACAATGTAAATAAAGAAACATGAAAATTCATGATTTAAATCACAAGCCCAAAGTAACGATTGAAATGTAACAATTAACATAAAATTGGGTAAAATGATGACAAATAAAAGTGTTAACATTCACACATGATTAGGCCAACCTTAATATTATGATCATTGATGGACTTTGTTTTACCTGGAAAAACAAGA